ATAGAAGAGGGTCAGAAGAGGGATAATTAACACTACAGGCCTTTTGAAAGAGTCATGTAGAAACCTACCATGGAAGTTTCTCTCACTATATACATATACAGTATAAATAGAGTTAAAATGTAGCTACCCTATAACAGAGGTTGAGGCCCTAATAGACACCACAGGCTAGCGAATGTAAACCCCAATGCCAGGAATGGACTCCCCTCTTTTAGAGTTGTTGACCAGAGAGATCCCAAAGATTCTCAAACAATACTAGCTATTGTCATTTCACTTAGTTTCCCACCAGAACTTGATGATAAAACCCAATGTAAGGTATTATGTACCTGAGTCACAGAACAAACAAGGAGAAATCAAGCTGTTACCTGACCTGGAAGCTACAGCTCTACTGGCTAGCTTTCATTGTACTAGAAGGTGCTGTGCATGTTACTGGCAGAGAAGGTAATCATCAACCTTCCCTAGCTGAGAACCCTGTAAGCTGCAATAATAACTGCCTTGAAAATATGACCACTGGTGCAAACGGCAGCACAAATATGGTGGGAACAACTAACCATCTTCTAATTGGATTTACAGCCAGCTTCAAAAGATGGAGCCTACACCTGATTATTGTCAGGGCCAAGAACCTGTGACTAGACAGGTCATAGAGCATAGGGGAGAACCCATCACTATCATTCTGCTAAATAGACATAACAGTAAACTGACTCACAATGACTTATTATTATATCCATAGATTAGAACATCTTCAACTCTCACCAGATATATTTTTAAGGTAGAAGCAAGACCAAAGGAGTTCTATTCATTGGGAGCGGGCAGACACAATATGTGCCACTTTCAAGCTTGCTTTGCAGACTCACCCAACCTTCTACACCCTCTGTCTCAATTCTATTGTCTTCTGACTGGATGCCAAGAATTCAGCAGAGGTCACCAAGGTCTAAGGAGGTAGCAAAATCCCTAGGTGAACAAGAAGACTTCTTCCCCTCAACCCACTTCTCTTCTACACTACTGACTTTAGACTGAAACAGTGAAAACAAAACATTTGCTGTCTTGAGCTACCTGGTCTCTGCTGGTCAACTGTAATTAAACCACCTGCTTAGTGCAAACTGAAGATTTCATTGTCATAATTTTTAGAAATAATCTTTATGTTGAAAATTAATAGTTTTGAATATGACAATAAAATTAAAATGTCTAAATTTATGCTAACCAAAATTTGTATTGTCTTGACTCCAAATATGGACCGTGTAACAGCTTTCATCTTTGTTATAAATGATCACACAAAATTTTACCTAATCTCTTTTTAAAATGTAAGTAGTGCCGTGCTGGAGATATGACTCAGCAGTCGTATCTGCTCTTGAAGTGGACCTGGGTTTGATTCCCAGCACCCACATAGCAGCTAACAACCGTCCATAACCCCAGTTCCCAGAGAACCTGATGCCCTCTTCTGACCTCTGCCAGCACTGCAGAGCAGAGGTGCACTTACACACATACAGGCAATACACTCATAGACATAAAATAATAAATAAAATGTAAGTAATGCTTTTAGTCTTTACCAATATACATTATTGTTCAGGGACTGTTATGAGTCTCTCAGTTAAACAAATACAAGAGAAATAACCTCAAAAATCAATGAATCTTGCCTACCAATTAAAATATAATATTTGAAATAATTGGGTAAGCAAAGAACAGTGCTAACTGTGGAAAAGGTCAAATGTTCGCAACATACCAATAAACTCTCTCTTTTCACTCTCCATTTCTTAAGAAAATTCTTGTGCAGAAGTGCTTGGGTTTGCTGATACACACTTATCTTTTTCATAGCCATTTTACCTGCTCATCAAATGAATAAACAAAAAAGTAAGCATAATAAGCCAAACCTATGTTTCTCACTAAAATATTTAAACTTTTAAAATTGTAATAAAATGATTCAAAACTGTAACAATTCATGACAAAATTTTGTCTCAAATATATTCACTTTAAGCTACTTGGTTGAATGGGTGACAGTGGGTGTGTATGGTGATTATAACAACATTTTCACAATAAAACAAAGCATTTTTATTGACAAAATATCAGTAGGATTCAAAACATGTATGATAATTATATTTTACAACAATTCAACAATGTAGACACAGTAATTAAAATAATTTCATCACACAAATGGTATTCATTTCTTGTTTCTTGCATTTCAATTCAAATCCCAGCACTGATCAAATTAACAGGACAATTCTGATTTCTTAAATTCATCTGAATGGTATATAACACTTATGAGACAATCTCAATGAAACATGTTTGTATTTACCTTCAGGTTGGAGTGGGGAAAAAATTTTTACGAACAACCTTTAACAAAAGAGCTTTGCTTTGGAACAATAATCCAGGCTCAAATTACTTGAAACTTGATTTTGAGACACAGGAAGAATAAAACAACTTCTCTTAATTTTGTAAATTCAAAAGTCACTCAATAACTCAGGAAACAAAGCATAAAATGATTTTTAAAAATAAAATAAGTTGCATGGAAATTAATTTTGCCCAGAGATTTTTTTTCAAAGAAATAAATAGAAAATATATTTTCAAGTCTATATGACCTTTACGTTTATTCTTTCAAGTTTACATATTAAAATTTCACACAACTTTTCCTCAGCTATTATCAAAAGAAACTTTATATTTTCCTAGATTCTACTGCTTTGTCTAGTCAATAAAATCTGGTTGGGAGAAAACTGGAAAAAATTAATTATTAAATCTTCAACATAAAATATGTAAGCATTTGGAAACATCTGAAGAATAGATTCATTTCAGCAATGTCCGTCCACATATTTGGCACAGCACAAAAAATATTAAGCTTTACTTACTGTCAGGAATTTTTACGTTCTCTGGAAACACACACAGTTCTCTTTTTTTTTTAATGCAACAGTTAGATCATTCTTTCTGGTTCCTTAACTGTTTCTTAAATAGGCAATTGCTCCCGGCAGTTCTCGCTCAGACTGGTTTCTGGAAAAGGGTGTAGGCAAGCCACGGGTGATGAACTTATTTTGTTTTCTGTGTCCTTCTCCCTCTAAGCTGGTTATTCTTCAGGGAAAAGTGTTCTCTGATTGGTGGGGCATAAAACAAACCCTATGTCTGTTCATTTAGCCTTTCAACTCCAAGGAAAATAACAAAAATGGTTCAAGCCTCTAAAAGGCTTGATAACATCAAGATGGAGAAATAAGAAATAATAAGAAATAATAAAAACAGTAACTAAACTAGGCAGTTAAAATGTAGGAGAAACCCTAACCCATGTTTTTCTCTACTAGTAATAAACACAATTGTCAGTTCTAACTGGGAAAGCAGAATACCCTGAAGCAGAAAGTTTTCCTTTTCAGCTTTCCTAGTAGCTAAGCAAGCCATAATCTGCTTTGGTGGGGCTTTCTATAACATACATGAAGAATGATTTTCGAGTGCCTTTCTCCAACTCTGTTCACATTCATGCAGGATTTTAGGAATGATGTGGACAAAATAAAATAGTTCTGAAATGATTAAAAATATATAAAAGGATTAAGATTTTTATGCATTGATACTAAAATAAACCTGAAATATATTCGATTCTCACTTCACAGTCTCTGTGGAAAGTATCGCAAACTTTTTTTGAGATTTTCGAGTGCCTTTCTCCAACTCTGTTCACATTCATGCAGGATTTTAGGAATGATGTGGACAAAATAAAATAGTTCTGAAATGATTAAAAATATATAAAAGGATTAAGATTTTTATGCATTGATACTAAAATAAACCTGAAATATATTCGATTCTCACTTCACAGTCTCTGTGGAAAGTATCGCAAACTTTTTTTGACCTGCCACAGTAAATGACAAAACAGGAAACCAAAGTCCATGAGTTGGGAAATCTCAAATATTTGACATGGCTCCCTACCTACATGTTGATAATCATAAGTTAGAAACATGGGTCTGTCGCTCGCAGTCAGGTCAACCTACCTGGTATCACAATGTCAAAGAAAACTCTCCCATTCCCAGCAACTATCAATTGTCAATAGATCCTCAGCTAGGGCTGGGGTTTCTTTGGACATGAATTTGAGGGGTTGGGTACTAGTAAGATGGGAGAGGATTTGAATATGATCAAAATACTAGTATGAAATTCTCAAAGAATCAATAAAAAATATTTCAAAATATTTATTCAACTTATTCACATATTTTTATAGTTTGGGATTGCTTGGGTTTTGTTAGGGTTTCTAAGTTCTTCATATAAGCTGGATATTAATCCTCTATCAGGTAAACAGTTTGTAGTTACATTCCCCCATTCTATAGCTCCTCTCTTCATTTATATCAGTGTTTCCTTTGCTGTAAGAAGCTTCTTTAAGGCATTAATGGGTCTTTTCCAGATACAGTGATATGCTACCATTATAACCATAGACTACAGAAGTGGAATGTAGAAGAGAGAAAGCGAGTGAAGGGAGGTAAAGAAACGGTGAAAAGGCTGTTCTAAACGTATCACAGAGGGCTGAGGAAGTGGCTCAGGGCTTAAAAGCATTTGCTATTCTTCCAGAGCATCTGGGTTCAATACACACATGGTAGCTCTGTCTCCCTCTTCCAACCTTTATAGGCACTACACACACACACACACACACACACACACACACACACACACACACCTCCAATATTAAAACACGTACAAATAAAAATAAATAATATTAAAAATATAGAATCAGATTATCAGGCACTTACAGAATACAAAATAAAAATATTAAAAATATAGGAAGAATAAGATTACCAGGCACTTACAGAATGCACAATCATTAGTATAAAAAAGGCAACCTGGGTCTTAATATTCCTTTTCCTAACTTCACCCCTGGGAAGAGCTAGCACTCATCTGGTTGATGCAGCTGCTAAGATTTCAATGGGCCAGTGCTGTTCTTTCTCCTTCCTTGGTCTATCTAAATAAACAAGCTTCTCCTTCTCCTCTGTCTTCTATTTGTGAGTGCTTCTTTTAAAAATATTTAACTTATTATTTTTATTTTTTGTGTATGAGTGTAATGCTTGCACTATGTAAGCCTACTTGTTTAGTGCAGTGCCCGCAGAGGTCAGAAGAGGGAATTGGATCTCCTAGAACTGGAGTTACAGGTGGCTGTTAGCTGCCATGTCAGTGCTAGAAATCAAACCCAGGTCTTCTGCAAGGGCAGCCAAGTGCTCTTAACTGCTGAGCCATCTCTGCAGACCCTTGTGAATCCTTCTTTACTTGCTCATCTAAATATCTGCTCTTTTTGATCTCCCATCTGTCTTCTGCATGGCCTCAACTCCATCCTAATGGTGCTCATGTATATTTCATCTCCATTTCTCCAGGCTCTCTCCTCACTTTGTTTTTCTTTTTGTCTTTTTGAGACAGGGTCTTCCTGTAGCCTCAGCTGTCTTGGAACTCACTATGTAGACCAGGTTGGCCTTGAACTCACAGAGATCCATCTGCCTCTGCCTCCCAAGTGCTGGGACTACAGCTTCTTACTTTTAAAACAGTCTACAGAAAATATCTACTTGCAGATACTCTGCTTCCTCTGATGTGCTGAGTCCAATACTGATACCAACATCTCTTCCAAATAAACTTACTTTTTGACCTCCTTTGTTTCTCTCAGCATTGTGACCTTTTCGGTTTAATAGTGTCTTTTTAGATAGAACCCTTTAGTTTTTATACTTCTTTCAATTGTTCATGAAAAATCACTGTTTTATAACATGTCATTTTTTTCTTGTATCTTTGTCCAGTTCCTTCTGTTGGCCTTTGAATCTTTGACTGACATTTGAATATGAAGACATTTTAGAAGGATTGGGGGATCCAGAAACAGTGACGTTAGAGTGAACCAATGAAAGCCACTGCTGGGCAGAGTTTGGAAACAGGCACTAGGAACCCAAGAATGAGGATTTGACTAGTGGGACTTGCTAACTTGTGAATGTCCTGTTGTACGTCTTAGCTTTCCTGTTTGTAACACTGGTGTTATACCAAGTTCAGAGGCATTAGTGAGAACGAACTGAAAGGTAGAGTGAAATAACATCACAGTGTGCTGCTTGTCATAAAGGTGTTCAGTTACTCAGAACAGTTATTTCTTACTCAACAGCCTGAATGGAAGCACTAAATTTTAAGACAAACCAGGAAGTGGTATTAAGAAACAATCAAGGAATTAGGTAAAGTCACATTTCAAAGTCTAGAAAGATGGTTTTTAAAAGGCATAGTGACATCAAAAGCCTTTCTAGATAAAATATGAATCGGAGCTTGAAATGGGCTTATGATGAGGTATTTGTCCTTTTGTACTTCTAGGATTGAAGAACCTGCCTGATTAGCCTGCTGACCTAGGGATGATGAGAGTCATAGGGTGCAGAACTAGAGTCACTCTGTGGGTTGGGTCCAAGCCTGCTGTGTAACATTATTTCTGGGAAGACATGAACAAACATCTACTCACCCCAGAAAAGGAACCAACAGTGGACAAAAATTCAGGATAGCATCAAAGTCCAGCTTGGTGAACCAGTTTTATTGTGGTTAGTTATGGGTATATAGGTGAGGGGTTAGTTACAGGAATAGAAATGACTCAAAGACAGCTACATCACCAAAAAGTCCACCCAAGTACGTGTGACAGCTCACAAAAGTAGGAAACCTGGAGCTCATTATACAACCTGTAGGCAGCTCAACAGGTTGGAGAGTATTCTTCCCAGGTAGCTCAGCTGGTCTGATCCTCTTCCAGGCAGCTCAACTGGTCTCCCCTTCTTCTAAGCAACTTTGCTCATCTGAGAGTGTCTCTCTGCAGTCTTGGGGCAGGCGGGGCCTAGGGAACCTGGTCAACTTTAGGTATTTCATGAAGCTATTCAGTTGTTTACATCCTGAGCTTAAGAAGCCTCCCTGAATGATGAAATATTTCACCTCTTCTGAAAATATCCTGTTGAAGAAAAGTTTTATCTTTTTTTAAAAAATAGTTTATTATTTTTGTTTTATGTGTATGAATGTATTGCCTGAATATATGTAAGTACACCCATGTGTGCAAAGACTGCAGAGGTCAGAAGTCTGTCGAATCACCTGGAACTGTAGTTATAGCCACCATGTGGGTACATAGAATGGAAACCCAGGTCCTCTGCAAGAGCAGCCAGTGAGTGATCTTAACCACTGAACCAACTCTCCAGTCCCAAAGGAAGGTTTTATCTACAAGGAAATTGCTATACAACAAAGCCCTCCCAAGTCTAGACTAGGTCTGGCCATGACACTGAAAAATGAGAAATAATGAATAATTATCATTTGAGATCACTGGGTTTGGGAGTGTTTTCTTAATGCAACAATTTCCTGGCAATAACTGACGACAGCACCATATTTTTCTTCTTCCATTCACTTAATGAAGCATGATCACAACCTTTATTTCTTTTCTATTGCCAATATCCTAAACTCTGATACAGATAACTTAAGTAATTTTAACACATAATAAAAACTTGGGAGTACACTTAATTAAAAAAAAAATACACAGATAAAGAAGCAATTTAAGCCCAGCTAGGTAGCTGTTGATTACCCCCAAGATAAAAGTGCCACTACTGCCCCAATGTAGTTTGCTGTGCCTGTCACTGTTGTGCATTATTACACCTTAAAGCTGGGGCTGGACCATTGACTGATGCTCTCCCTTAGCAGCTTGCATAGTGTCCTCCAAAACTATGAGCGATAGCCTTAAAGCCTGCTCAGTGGGAAGGAACTCATGTTTGGTACTATAAACATAGCCAAATACATATGGCTGGAGAGGTCATAGATCTATGAGAAAATTCTAAGACTGTTATGTCCCTAGACAAATGTAATTTCTTACTATATACTAAATATAGATCCTATATTTACAGACAAGTATGCCAGTCACCACTCATCAAAGAAGTTTCTTTTGCAACAGATGGAGACTATTACAGAGTTTCACAACTGGTCGCACACAGAGAATAAGTGTCTGTGAAATACCCAATCCTAAGTGACACATCTATGATGGAACCTCTACACCTAAGGCTCATGGCACACAGAGGAACAAGGGGTAGAGAGAATACTAATG